TATTTTAGGGCATTATGTTTATCATAGGAGTGCAGAATGACGGTATGCAGAGTGGATTATATTTGGGAGGGTGTGCGGGGGGAATTCTGTACCAATGACGGAGTTTTTCTTTTGCTTTTCAAGGAGAGGAGCGAACTGGGGGTGGGGGGTGGGGAGAAAAGTGCAACAATGAATGAATGGAATCCAAGGTCTCTGTAGATGTTCACTGAAATTAAAAATAAAATAAAATAAAAAATTTTAAAAGAATAAAAAAGACCTTGGTTTGTGGTGAGAATTATTTAAGGGGTTTTCTTCTTGGTTTGATTCCTTCTTTTGTTTATTCCTCTGGTTGGGGAAGAAAGGTAAATCTTCCATATAGGGAGATTTCATACAATAATGTTTTCCAGACAGAAACGAAGGCAGATAAGAGAATGGCATGGTCTGACCCTGCTGCAGCAGGCGCACACATCCTGCAGCTGACTAAAGCTTACTTTATCAACCCCAAAACTGTCCTTGTCACCACGTTCCCTTTGTTCTGACTCTAACAGACTATGTTAGAGCAATGTGGCATCAGGATTGGAGGATGATTTGTTAAGAGCCTGCATTATTCTGACATCAGAACATTATTTGCAGAAAATAAAGGTTTGAAGCAGTCCTGAAGAACAAAGGCTACAGCCTTCTGTGTGGGTTATGGCTCAATGTCACGAAAAGGGAAATTGGACACAATGCCAATGACAGTATAACTAGGTGGCACAGACACCCAGCCCATTGCTGTTCCTGTTCCAGACCATGCAATGTTGTCAGCAGTAATCCAAAGAACACTTAGAAACATGGCATCCGGGGTGTTCACCACACTACTAGCTGTATTTCAGCCTCTCTATGACATTATCGCAGGCATTAAAGACCTTCTCCGAAGTGATAGAGAAATACCAAACATCAGCAGGAAATGTTCTCCATGGTTTCTTGGTGGCAACTGATGACACCCTGAACCATGGAGTGAAATGTGCACTTGGGCTTGTCTATTGCTTGGTCAGGAAACTGCAGCAAACCCCACTGGAGCAGATCAGGAAGATATTTAAGATTCTTTTTTCAGCCATTCTGTTTGCCTAGTGGTAAAGAGTCGCACTGTTAACCCAAAGGCACACAGTTCAAGTCCACGGGAGAAAGATGGACAATCTCCTTCCATGTGCTTTATTGCCTCTGAAAACCCACTAGTCAGTCAGTTATGGGTTGGTTCCAACTCAATGGTAAATAACAACATCAACATAACTTTCAGCTGTTAGGTCTGGAGTTAACAACTTAGACACAAGTCTAGATCCAGGAGAGGCGTCCTCTTGGCGAGCCACTAAGGGCTTTGACACTGTGATACTGAGAGTGCTACTCAGCCTCTCCAAAACTCATTCTCAGGTCAGACTGATTGCCACTCTTGCAGAGGTGACACATCATGATGAAATCACTTATAGAAGGAGGAGTGTCTCATGCTACATTCCTACCAAGAATTGGACAGGAAATAAAAAAGGTTTTTTGAGGTTTAGAGGCATTCACTTGAAAAGCACGGGCAAGAGATGTTCCCATACCTGTAGGTGTTCAGACTTGAAGACCATGAAATATTTGCTCTGATAAACTTTCTGAGTCGCTGTGAGGTTACTGACAGGAAGAAAAAGAAGGCTGATCCTTCCGTCAGGGATTAGAAAACAACCGAGGAATAAATGTCTTGCATCTCTGAGGAGGAGATAGATGCTGCTCTTGGCAAGCCACCAATAAAGTGAAGAATGTTAGATGCACACGGTGCTGAAGGTCATGAGCTTGTCTTCAGAGCAACAGAGCCGGAGCTAAGCCTTGCAACAACCCCTCCAGAGACCCAACAAGTTGACCTGATTAAACAACAACTAGCAGCTGTTTGTGGACCAGGATAAGAGAGTCAGAGGCCACAACTGATTTAGCAAAAACAAAACCGGATATCTCCAAATCTTGACCAATGGATAAATAGCCAACAGTATGATAGATCAAGAAAAGACTGAAGTTGTCAATGATTTCATTTTTTTCTTGGATCCACAATCAATTCTCAGGGTAGCCAAGAAGTCCAGGAAATTTCAGTCAAGAAATCAAAGAAGATTTGCTTACTGCAAAACTGCAAACTTCTGTCAAAGACCTCTTCAAAGTGCTAAAGATCAGGGATATCATTGCACATAGATCTAAGTAATAGTATTTTTAACTGTTTCATACCTATGTGAAAGGTGGGCCATGATTAGGGAACTTATGAATTGTGGGGTTGTACTGAGTATTCTCTTAACTGCCAAAAGAACAAATCAATGTGGGATGAAGTCAGAGGTTCCTTAGAACCATGGATGATAAAACTTCACCTTGTATACTTTGGATGTGTTATTAGAAGAAGCTAGTCCTTAAAGAAAGACATCATGCTGGGAAAGGTAGAAGGTCAGCAAGAGTGGAAGACCCTCAGTCACATGAACTGACACAGTGACTGCGACAATGGACTTGATCATGGCAGAGATCTTGAAGACGGTGCAGAATAGAACAAGGTCCCAATCTATTGTTGATAGGGTGGCCAGGAGTTATAATTGATTCAGCAGTGCATAACAATAGCAACAGTTCTTCTTTCTGAAAGGGTAGCAGAAAATAAATACAACTATATCCACCAGCAGTGAGAAGTTCAAGAACGGTAGTACAAAGGCTGTAGTACAAAGGCCAATTTCTGAAATAGTTATTATTCAAGTTAAACTTGGAGTGGAATTCATTAAATTCCAATTTGCTCCAAGCAGTGTATATAGTGTATATAGTACTAGCCCCATTTCTGGTCATAGCAGCCTACTTATTGTGGAAATGTGTGAGGCTGGGAGAAACTATGGACTAACATGGATAATGGGCAAAAGGCCAAGTCTTTTTCTTGCCCTTCCTTTCTTTCCAAATTAGGTCCATTAGTGCATTCCTTAGCAAAAAAAAAAAAAAAAGCAAAAAAAAATTTTTAGGGAGAAGCCATCTCAAAAGGCAAAAAACCTGTTACCAAGTCAGTTAGTTTCAAGCCACCCACCACTGGAGTTCTGGGAGGAGACTGTATTTCTGTCACAAAAATAGTAGGGCTTATGAGTCACTGTAAATAAGCAGACTTTGGTTTAAAAGCACAGCTCACTACAGACTCCACCACCCTAGAAGATTAAATCCCTTGCTTAGAAACTGTTGCCCTATACTTTTCTATATGACAAGAGATCATTCTATGGCCTTCACATTGCCCTACTGTACAATAGATCTAAGAACAATAGTCCACAGTGAGACCTTAACAAGAAATTCAGCAATACCAGGCGTCTCTCTTTCTAGAAGAGGCGCACAGGTCTGTAATGTCAATGGCACTGCGTTGAGCTGTTGAAGACTTCCTCTCTGATAGGAAGTTATTCCTGGAGAGAGTCTCCAAATTCCCAGAACCATCCAAGTGCTGCTTTTTTTTTTTAAAGATACAGGGTATTCTTTTAAGTTTTATAGCTTGTCCACTCAGGGATAAAGGTTGTCACTGGTCCACCTCGTCCTCACATCCACCACAGACTATGAGGAAAGACTATGGGCCTCCCCCTCTTTCTGCCAGGGATCCTAAGGTTGAAATAAAAAATAGTACCAAAATACAAAAATGCTAACGCACTGGTAAGAACTTGAAACACAATAAAGTGTTTCCGATATTGCTACAAATATGGGAAAAGCCATTTTGCGCCCATCCGTCCTAAAGGAAAATAGGGGTTATGGGATGGTGGCCTCAGTCCTTTGAGAGAGTACTAGGGGCTATTCCACAGAGAAAGCCCTAGAAGATTAACTCTGGAGAAGTGGAGGCCCGTGGGGTCCTCTATAGCCATTGCAGAGCCTGAGAGTGAGCCCCTTCCTTCACCCACAGTCTTATGCTAGTCTTTCTTGGCCTCTTTCGTAGGATGCTGCCTTCTTTTTTCTTCTCAGATCTTCCATGTGGAACTGCTCTGCACAGTATCCAGCAGCACCCTGGTAGGCATCAAGTGCCTTCTCCGAGTCCACTTCCTTCTCTTTCTAACTTTTCAGTAACAGCCTGGCCATAGGAGGACTTCATATTGCCTTTCTATCACCCCACATAGATGCAGGTGTGTGACACAAAACCGTTAAGATCCAGACTGACAAATGAGAATCTATAGAACCTCAAATACATGGTGGGCCTTTGGCTGGTCTACCATCAAAATGGAAAGGGACTTGTTTAGGAGACAACAATTCCATGTGCTAGGTGGGCCAGCCTGGGTATTAGAACATCAAGTCCTTGTCAGGTTCAACGAGGAGCAGCAATCCCAAGTTCTACAGCTCCCCCATCCCCACTCCTGCTGTCCAGAGAAGAGGAGATATTGCAGCAGAGAAAAGGGGGGGCGGTGTTAAGAGTAAAGGGGTTGAGATGTTTACCCCCAAGAATTGCAGGAAGAACTTGGAGGAGTTAGGCCAACACAGGGGCACCACTAGCCCTATGAATGGCTAAAGCTAGGGCAGCAGGATGACTGCCTTAACACTGGACAAGTCCTGTTACCGAAGGTCCTTGAGGTCGATGAGTGGCATGGCATGGGCACTGGTATGGTCTGAAGGTGAGACTGTAGGGCTGTCTAGGTAGAATCACACAGAAGACTGGGTTAAGATTAGCGGTCCAGAGTTACTCGGTGCTGCTCTCAAGATCTTTCCTAAAAGCACCCAGAACATTCAGGGGTGGGGGTTAAAGAAAATGTGTGAACCTCTGTAAGAATGTTGAACTCATGGAGCACCCAGTAAAGAAGGAAAAACAACAAGAAAACAGGTTTCTGAAACAATCTATTCAAGTAAACTGGGTTGGGGGCTAACTCTCAAATGTGTTTCATTAACAAGATTCCCATGATCCTTTGTGCTCTTTATTGGAGCATTAGTACTAGAGTCGTCTAGCTCCAAAGGAGACCTCCACAATGCTGCCTATGGACTTTTGAAGGCTCACCTCTACCATTAACAGTCCCATAACTGTATACCATTACACCCACAGAGCTCTCCCCAAGGAAGAACAGCACGGCACACAGGGTCACAGTTATAAGACAGAGCTGAAATGAGACACAGTTCATCCCTCTTAACCAGTTCGTGACACTGATAAGTCATTGCCTCTCTCAGGGCTTCTCAGGACCTCACAATTTCCTCAAATAGCAATGGAGAGATCCTTCCATGATCGATACCACCTAGCGACATCAAGTGTTTGTAAGGTAATTGAGCACTGGTGTCACACCTGACTAATGCATGGATTAAAAATGAACAATTTCAAGGAAGGATAGGAAGTAGCATGGAGTACACCTCAAAACAGGAGGGTTCTCCTTGGCAGGCCAGCGCTTGAGCTATTACATTACCAGGGCTCCAGAGTCAATCATTATGAAGGAGTTGGAATTAAATGGAAAACAAATATTTGCATCCTCTGACCTTCCAGTGAATTCCATTAAATTCCTAATAAAAACAAAGTGCCCCATGTCCTACTGGAGGGAAGCCATCACAATGGCTCCAAATCATGACCTCCTGGTCTTTATACATCTAGTATTACCTCCCCTGAATTTGAATTGTACTTTAAGCCTTGGTGGCCTGGCGGGGTAAAGAGTTGTGCTGCCAACTGAAAGGCAGGCAATTCGAATCTGCTAGCTACTCTGTGGCAGAAAGAAGAGCAGTCTCTTCTTGTACAATTGCAAAGTCAGTTGTGAGTTGGTTTGCACTTAACAGCAATGAGTTGAGTTCTAAAGGTTAGGGAACTAGGATAGGATAATGGTGGCTTCTATTTTCTCTCCCTTTCTTCCTTCATACTCTTTATCTTTGACTCTGCCTCTCTCACTCACACTTTTCCACCTGGGAAGCAGCTTGCGTGACTGACCTACTCTCTGGAGAGATATAAAAGAAAACAACAGAAGGGTATTGAGCATCCCAGTCCAATAGTTCACAAGACACTGCGTCCTGTTTATCACATGGAAGTGAATGGGACTCCAGGCTTAAATGAGAATGTGAAGCAGAGGCATCAGTGTTTGTACTGGGAAGTCACCATGTTTGGGGTAATAGGGTTACAGTGTATCAGTCCACCAGGCTCTGAGGCCTGTATTTTCCTCTTCTACCCCTCTTTCCTCTCTCCTGAAAAACTTACTTCTGTTGTAATAGCAGCTATCTAATCTGCATTATGGACAAACTTGGTTCTACCTGCAAGTGTCTGCATCACTATGCCTTCTTCTTAGCACACTGTCCCCAGATTAATGCAGGGTTGACCCCTTATCTAATTCTTGTAACACAAAAATGTCAACTCAATGAGCCCCCCACCCCAGCCCTAAGAGGATCTTTCCTTATTGTCTCTGTAGAACTTAGTTTGTTGTTTTTCCTCTTGTTTATGTTATCTGTTTTCATGCTTTTGTTCACCTAGCTGTCACACTGTGATCTTCTGGGGACATGGGCCACATGGGTCTCTTTCGGCCCCTATCCACGGTCTAGCATTAGCACCTGTCACACATGATACTCATTTTTGGATTAAAAAAATAAGAAGATCTTAGAATCTAGTCCCACTTCTGATCAGCTTAGATTATAGACATGGGTGGTAATATGGCTGTGTATCAAATCAAATCGACTCACAGCCGACCCTCTAGTAAATTTTTAGAGGCAGTAAATCGCACAGGAAGAGACTGTCCATCATCTCCCGTGGAGCAGCTGATGGATTTGAACCATGTGCCTTCAAGATTGCAGCACAGCTTCTTACCACTAGGCCACCAGAGCTCCCTAGGATGGTAATACTACAAGGTGCATATCACAGGTAGGACGTTGCCAGAACAACATTAAATGACTGGCCTCTACCTCACTTGCTCCAAAGAAACTTAGTAATAGCCACTGAAAAAAGCAGGTACACTTACTCCCTAATGACTAGAACCGTGCTGCACTCTCAGCACAAAACCTCACCACAAAACTCACACCTTTGTTCAGGTGTTCCCTGGACAACAGCTCTCCTGAGCTCTAGAAGGGCTTGTCCTGATTCCAGTGATCCAGAGCAATGACTAGAGGTCCGGGCTTTGTCAATCCAGCAGTTCCCATCGGTGTCGGCAACCTAAGTAGCTGCCTGGGAACCTTGGGATCCACATCCTTAATCCTGAAGTTTCTCCACTTCCCACACTGTGAACTGTGGGCCTGTGGCTAGGACACTTTCATAGTAGAACTACCCCCAAAACCTCACTCTTCTCTCTCATCTATCTCATGGGTGCCATTTCCTCCTCTGGCTACACCCTTGTGACTCATCCATGCAGTCAAAGTGCACGTACCTGGGTTTGTGTGCACAAGTGGGGATGCTGAGAGAAAACAGCCCCACTACAGGGAAGAGGCATCTAGGCAAAGGTACAGCTTAGTTATGGCATATATGCCAGGAGCCCTGGAGGCCACTGTTGGGGATGAACCTCTGAGCAGTCTTTATTCACCACCGCAGTTTCTGTCATCAGCTGTGAGAGATCATTCTGCAAGTCAGAATTAATACTTCTGTGTTGGAGAGCCTTTAAAGGTGAAAACAGCCTATGCAATCTTGCTTTACCGAGTGCAGAAAGAGAAGAAACTAGGGGAAAGGGTCTTTGAGCACATCTTAGATTCCTTTTCATCAGTGAAAGGAAAAGTTGCCATTCTCAGGAAGTGCCATCATACATCAAGTAAAATATTAACAAGCTTTGCTTCTGTATTTTTTCTGATATTAAAGGAAATTTATCTAAAAGATAGTGTCAGGGGCTGTCATTGGACAGGAGCACAATTTCCGTTTTTGCTGTAGGAACTGTTTACCTTTATAGTCATTCCTCTGTTCCTAGAATCTCAGCATTTTAGGATTATGTGTCAGGAAAACCTTCCACCATGTAAATAGACGACCACAGGACAAGTAAATTGTAATCTTTCTTCTCTTTTAAGTACATCCAAACTCTATGCCCTGGTTATAGTCCCTGTTTTCTCCGTTCCACTCAGTTTCCAAAACTGGATAATGAAAGGTTAGACCTGGAGCTGCTTAAGCTCTATCAAAGCTAGGATTCAGGCCATTCAGGGACATGCGGAGGGTCCACATTGCCGGTGAGCACTGACACACCCATTCCTTACTGTGTTGGGGACGTTAGGAGGCCACGGCGCAGGGAACCCAGACCAACGTCCACAGCCCTGCAGTAGCCTGCAGATAGCACGTGCTCGTGCTCGCCCAACGCGCTCGTGCACCAACTGATCCACGCTGGTTAACGGCCCCACGTGATCCCGCCCTCCCCACCGGCTCTGTAACTTCCAACCATCAACAGGGTCTAGAGAGCCAAAATCTCTCCAAGGAAAAGTCGCTGATGCTGTCTGTGTGCAGGGGCCTCAGGGAAGGGTCGTACAGAGCCCAGAGACACCTACTATCACCCACACCCTGATCCGCTTTTGGGAGCGCCCGCTAAAAGAACCGAAGAACCGCCAGCGCTGTTCCCCCTTCCTGCCCTGCCTTCACATCTCAGCCTCCCTGAGCTCCTTGGTGCACCAGACCCGGTTACCTTGTCTCTGCCACAGACTGACTAGAGCAACTGCATGTCAGCAGTCCCCTGCAACACCTAGGTCCCAGTGAAGGGAGAAAGCTGTGGGGCCCGAGAGGGGCCATTATGAGGTGTGTCAGCAAGCACTGGGTCTTTGGTTTTGTGAAAGTCACTCTTCTCTTCACTCTCATCCATGCCCAAGCTGCTCTCGGACAAGGTTCGGAGCTGTTGTGCATAACAGGGTCGCTGTGAGTCAGGTGACTTGACAGTGCGTAACAACATCTCACACCATACACAAAAACCAACTCAAGGTTGTTGTTATTATGTGCCGTCAAGTCGCTTGCGACTCATAGCGACCCTATATACAACAGCCCTAAACTCCGCTCTGTCCTGTGCCAATCGCACTGTCTCTGACACTCCCATCCCAATTATCCCAGTCACTGAATCAATCCACCTCATAGAGGGCCTTCCTCTCTTGCGCTGTCCCTCCACCCTCCCAAGCATGATGTCCTTCTCCAAGGACCTGTGTCTCCTCACAGCATGTCCAAAGTATGTTAGATGGAGCCTCAGAATCCTTGCCTCCAAGGAGCCACCTGGTTCAACCCTTTCCAGGACAAATCTGTTTGTTTTCCTAGCAGTCCATGGTATTCTCAATACTCTTCTCCAGCACCACAGCTCAAAGGCATCAATTCTCCTTCTATCCTCCTTGGTCATTGTCCAACTCTCTGATGCATAACAAGTGATTGCGAAGACCATGGCCTGTATCAGACGCACCGGTAGTATAAAAGAAAAACCTATAAAGACCGTCAGAAGCTTTATCTATGTAATGAATAGACTTTCAAACATAGCCAAAAATACACTCCCAGAAAAGGATAAAATAAATTAATGGCACCTTCTAAAAATCAAATACTTGTGTGTATCCACAAAATTTCTCCAGTAAAGTAAAAACAAAGTTCACAGAGAAGAAATGTTTGGCAATAACATATCTGACAAGGGACTCAGATGTAAAATTTATAGAACAATTCATGTAGCATCTCCACAAAAAAAAAAAAAGCAACCACCTGCCAAATGGGCAGAAGATAGTAAAACACTCTTTACCAAAAAGGATATTC